AAACAGAAACCTGAGTTTCTGCTTAAAGAATTAGAAGTAACATTTCCCATTTCCATGAAGGCAGAGGCTATACAGATTACTAAGCTCACTGAATTTCCTGACATTTCTATTGATGGAATCCAATAGAGGGGACTTGTCCATTGTGGTTAATGTCAAGAGTACCTTTTTCTGATATAGAAAGTCTGTATCAGGCTGATTCGAAGCACATAGGCAAATATATACTGTTGAAGCCACCTTGTCAAACTCCATGATAATTTCACTAAACAACAGACTTGTACAACATGTCCTTAAACTGTGATAGATGATAGTTAAAGTCTAGATAGGCTTAGGATAGGAATATAAGATTTTTAAGTTGAAAAACACTATGGTTCTATCTACAGTATTTAAACCCTGCAAAATCAAGTTAGTTATTTTTTGATAATTATTTCAAGATGATGTCGCTGTCAGGATTCCGACAGAGGCCCTAATTAAATTAAATTTCTTTATATGCCCTGAATGACCACTTAACCTGCCTATAAATTCTTGAATCCCCTCCACCTCTCCGGATGAGGTTCTTCAAAATAGTCTGAAACAATTAACAAAAGTCCTGAAGAAATTTTCAGAAAATAATTCATTTTAAAAAAGAGAGATTTTAATCCAAATCATTATGACCAGGGCTAAAGGGAAATATAACATCATGACTCTATGGAATTGAAACAGGATTTAAAATCCATCCAAAAAATAACCCACCAAGCAAGCTCGCTAGACAGTGAAAAAAGACAGGTGAACCCTATTTGGTTCATAGGGGAATGAATGATTTCCTTTTCTTTAATGTCCAAGCAGAACTTGGAAAATGGGGCTTTGAAGGCCTAATTGCATTACATCACTTGAGTCCAACTGCAAGAAAAAGAGAAGCAGAATAAATTCAGAAAGATTGGGCATAGTCAGTGAGCAAGAAAAAAATCAAAAAGTGCAGGTAAATACGTGTCGAGAATATTTCATCAGCCTGGGGAAAAACATGGAGTCCCTAAGATCCTCTGAGATATTATTTGTTCTGAGATTCTAGAGAGAAAATACAGGTAGTCCTCAACATATGACCACACATCAAAACATTTGTTAAGGGACTTTTACCCCATTTTATGACTTTTCTTGCCAGATGTCTATATATAAGTCATTTCAAAAATTAGTCGTATAAGGTTCTGTACCTGAAGAGAGTCCAGATACTTCTGTTAGTACAAAACGCAGTAACGATACAGGTACTCTTTGATTAACTGTGGTAATTGGGCCAGAATTCCCATTGCAAAGCAATGTGGTTGCAAAGTGAGATATCACTTGACTACATTGCTTGGTCACAACAATTGCAGCAGCTCCCATTACTGTTGTTAAGCAAGATGCATGAGGTGTTAACTGAAAACGTGCTCCCAACTCCTTCTAGTTTCCAACAACGTAAGTCAGTAGAGAAGCTAGCAGGAAGTTGTAAGTCCCAGATGATTGATAAGTGGGCAGGTAAGTGACTGCTCCCAGGTGGTGAATGGTGCACAAGGAGCTCTCACCACAAGTCTTAAGTGAGTCACTGCAAGTTCTTAAATTAGTAACACAGTTGTTAAGTGAATCTGGCTTCCCCATTGACTTTGCTTGTCAGAAGGTCACTAAAAGAGATTCCATGACCTTCAACCATCACAAATGTGAGTCAGTTGTCAAGCATCTGAATGTAAATCACGTGATCATGGGGANGTACCCTAAAATCACTTGTTTAAAATAGAAGAAGCATTTTAGTTTAAGAGATTCCAAACTATAAACTGCTCTGAACTATTATTCGAGACTTCAGTAGTGAATTAGAGATGAGCTAAAATTTGGCTGAACAATGAACCGAATCTTCCTGGATTGGTCTGCTTCCCCTAGAATACCATGTCTGGAACAGCATGGACATCTTCTGGTTCAGAGAATTTACTTCTAAAACTGATGAACTGTCCCTAAGACAGAACAGGCAGGAGAAGATTTAAGAACTGTCTGAAAGCCAATAGAATATTCCCGAGTTTTCCAGAACATTCCATTCTTAGTTGATAAATTCTCCACATGCATCTTGTGAAGAATTACATTAAAAAACATAACTTTAAATTCCCGAAAAGCTACTGGACAAGGCCAACCTTGGAATCTAAATGAAAAGCAAATAGAACCACTCCCCTTTGAACTGGGTACTCCCAAATTCAATTTATGTTTAAAGGCGTGCTTTAATCCCGACGCACCGGACCGCAAACAAGAGAAACATCTAGCATACCAAAGCAGGGAAATGAATATTCCAGTTAGCCTTCTTGTACCTGAGACCCAATTGATATTTGACATAACCCAGTCCATGTTTTATTACTTTTAAAAGATGAAGCACAATAAAGCCAACGTTACCAAAATTGCACTCTTCTCCGAGTTCTCTCCCAAATTTTAGCATGGCATCTGCAAGCAGGGCTTCAGCCTGAGGATAACCGGGTCCTTTTTCTTGGCCTCTAATTTTAGACATGGTGTTGAGCATGCTGAGTTTGGCTCTGGAGGCTACAAGCAGAGAGGAAACTAATCAGCAGAGACAATAAACCGGGCTGATTGGAAAGTGAGTCGTGCCTATAAATGACATTAAAAAAACCTCATATAAAAGAAAGATCTCACAAAACACTCTTAAGCCATGGGGAAATTTAGTTTCCTTCTAGATTGGCATGACACACCAGTCTTCAGACCCAGAAATGGATAAAACTCTTTTATAATGGTGTTAATGTAAGAGCATTCACCAAAAGAAATGTTGATGGAAACAACCATGGTCTCTACTCTTCCCCCCATGTCCAGAATAGCTATGGAAGCTCCATAATTTTACAAGATTTTATTTTTTCCCATCAGGGATACTGTTGAATTTCAAAACTCTCTCATGGGTATATCTGCCGGGGAAACAGAATGAGCTTCATCTCTTCTCTTATCTTCTATATATATAACAAAGGCGCTCTCTCTCTCTCTCTCTCTCTCTCTCTCTCTCTCTCTCTCTGTGTGTGTGTGTGTATGTGTGTGTTCCAGCATAACTTTAACCAAACTTGGTACACAGATGACTTATTCTCTAGAAAAAAAAATACTGTGGGGGTAAGACACCCCTAACACCCCTCGGGATGTGTGTTCATATAAAGATACAGCCTGTGGCGCCTTCAAATGGCTTCTACTGTACTGCCGTAAAATGGCTTCTACTGTACAGCACAGTGGAGTGCTGGTAATGGCAGTGCCATGGTAATGCCTTCACATTACTCCACAAGGGGGCTCCATCTGGTAAGAGGGGAAATCCAACATTAGAAATTACGTTTGGTCTGGACATTTCCCCCCTATAAATAAATACCCAGACAATGCCAGGTTATCAGCTAGTTATAGAATAAAAATACAATGATAAACTTGGGAGACACTAATGCTAAACCGTGCAGAAATGTCCAGCTTTTAACTCCAACCTCATGAGAATACCAAGAGCTGTTGCTAGGCAGAGAATAGTATGGTTTGCCTTCTAGCCACCTTTCTGGTTTCCTTTACATATATTTAAACTATACTTTTCACCATCCCTTTGCCATTAAATGGGATTTAAGGTTGAAGATGAACAATGTCAGTGAACAACTGATTATAAAGGAAGAGTTTATTTACACCTCCCCTTTGCAGAAACCTGCAGTTCTCACAATTCCTGGTTGAAGAGTGGAATAGGACAATGTGTGGAATAAGGATTTCCAGGAGAAAAGTGGGAATTCCTGGATGCTGGGTTACTTTTGCATGATAAATGACTTCTCACATAAGAATAGTCTAGATTTGAGAGAACGTTGATTGTAGTAGTCAAATCAAAAGATCCAACATGGAGCTAAGAAGAAATTTCCTGACAGTGAGAACAATTAATCAATAGAACAGTTTTCCCTGGACTTGTGGATGCTGTGCACTGGAGGTTTTCAAGAAAAGATTGGGTAACCGTTAGTCCAGGATGGAACAAAATCTTCTGTCATGGGGGTAGGAGGTAGGACTAGATGACCTACAAGGTCCCTTTCAGCGCTAGGATTCTATATTATGGTTTTTGATCAGCCTTTACAGTAAAAAAGACAGATCGTTTGATACAGCAGTTCGTTATCAGGAAAAGGAAAAAATAAAATGACATCTAATTAAAAGTTTTGCACAGTTGTATAACTTGGTGCAGAAATTTGGCCACCTGGGGTTAAGCTAAAGGTAAAGGTTCCCCTTGCACCTGTGTGCTAGTCATTCCTGACTCTAGAAGGTGATGCTCATCTCCATTTTAAAGCCTAAGATCCAGCACTGTCCAAAGATGTCTCCGTGGTCATGTAGCTAAATGCTGAAGGTGCATGGAATGCTGTTACTTCCCCACCAAAGGTGGTTCCTATTTTTCTACTTGCATTTTTACGTGCTTTCCAACTGCTAGGTTGGCAGAAGCTGGGACAAGTAACGGGAGCTCACTCTGTTATGCGGTGCTAGGGATTCAAACCGCCAAACTGCCAACCTTTCTGATTGACAAGCTCAGCATCTTAGCCTCTGAGCCACTGCATCCCTTGAGTCTGGGCTTAGCATCCCTTAAAAATGATAAATAGAAAATTGNTTTATTGCTAGGCATGCATTGTGATTTCATTTTTTTTTAATGGAGTAGATGTGATCAGTTAAGAAATCATTATAGGCAGGCAGTTGTATGTTTCGATGCTCTTTCCACTCCTCAACATCTACATAAAGCTGCTGGGTCACTATGGCATGAGATGATGTCATCACTATGCTTATGATATCCAATTATACTTTTCTGTTCCTGGCAATTTAAGCAATGCGGTTGATGCCTTTTCCCAGAGCCTGGAGGCTATGAGGGCTGAATAAGGAACAACAGGTTTCAACTAAACCCTGGCAAGACTGAGGCTCTGGGTTTTGGGGCCTGCCAGTTCAGAAACTGTACCATCTCTGCTATCACAATAGATCTGCTCCTGTTGCAACGTCTAGCTGATTCCATCACAAAATTCTATTTGTGACAATACCTGTATTTCCCTCAGATCTTTGTCATGGAGATTTTGCAATGGATCAATGAAATTCTGCTTCACATTAATATCCAAAGCATCCTTCACCTCAGACAGATCCCTCATTGCTTCTCCAACATCACCTAAAGCTGGGCCTAAAAAGAAAAACCATAAATGCTTTTATTTTAATTTAAATTGATGCAATAATATTTTGCTTCTTAAGTGCTTACAACCCCCACCTGCCAAAGGAAAAAAAAATCTGCCTAGAAAGTTCATCCCCATCCTCAGTGATATCATCAGACCACTGGATATAATTCTCCAAGGCTTAATAAATAGAATAATGTCCCCCCAATAAAATATTGCTTGCCTCATATTCAGAGCTTACATTTGCTCCAAACCGGTGGTGGGATTCAATTTTCTTTTACTATCGGTTCTGTGGGCATGGCTTAGTGGGCATGGAATGGCATGATGGGCATGACATGGCTTGGTGGGCATGGCATGGCATGATGGGTACAGCATGGCTTGGTGGGCATGGCAGGGGAAGGTTACTGCAAAACCCCATTTCCCCCCAATCAGCTGGGACACGGGAGGCAGAGAATAGACGTGGGGGGGGGCAGTCAGGGGTGGTATTTACTGGTTCTCTGAACTACTCAACATTTCCGCTTCCAGTTCTCTCTAGAACTGGTCAGAACCTGCTGAATACCACCTCTGAGATGTACCCTAAAATCACTTGTTTAAAATAGAAGAAGCATTTTAGTTTAAGAGATTCCAAACTATAAACTGCTCTGAACTATTATTCGAGACTTCAGTAGTGAATTAGAGATGAGCTAAAATTTGGCTGAACAATGAACCGAATCTTCCTGGATTGGTCTGCTTCCCCTAGAATACCATGTCTGGAACAGCATGGACATCTTCTGGTTCAGAGAATTTACTTCTAAAACTGATGAACTGTCCCTAAGACAGAACAGGCAGGAGAAGATTTAAGAACTGTCTGAAAGCCAATAGAATATTCCCGAGTTTTCCAGAACATTCCATTCTTAGTTGATAAATTCTCCACATGCATCTTGTGAAGAATTACATTAAAAAACATAACTTTAAATTCCCGAAAAGCTACTGGACAAGGCCAACCTTGGAATCTAAATGAAAAGCAAATAGAACCACTCCCCTTTGAACTGGGTACTCCCAAATTCAATTTATGTTTAAAGGCGTGCTTTAATCCCGACGCACCGGACCGCAAACAAGAGAAACATCTAGCATACCAAAGCAGGGAAATGAATATTCCAGTTAGCCTTCTTGTACCTGAGACCCAATTGATATTTGACATAACCCAGTCCATGTTTTATTACTTTTAAAAGATGAAGCACAATAAAGCCAACGTTACCAAAATTGCACTCTTCTCCGAGTTCTCTCCCAAATTTTAGCATGGCATCTGCAAGCAGGGCTTCAGCCTGAGGATAACCGGGTCCTTTTTCTTGGCCTCTAATTTTAGACATGGTGTTGAGCATGCTGAGTTTGGCTCTGGAGGCTACAAGCAGAGAGGAAACTAATCAGCAGAGACAATAAACCGGGCTGATTGGAAAGTGAGTCGTGCCTATAAATGACATTAAAAAAACCTCATATAAAAGAAAGATCTCACAAAACACTCTTAAGCCATGGGGAAATTTAGTTTCCTTCTAGATTGGCATGACACACCAGTCTTCAGACCCAGAAATGGATAAAACTCTTTTATAATGGTGTTAATGTAAGAGCATTCACCAAAAGAAATGTTGATGGAAACAACCATGGTCTCTACTCTTCCCCCCATGTCCAGAATAGCTATGGAAGCTCCATAATTTTACAAGATTTTATTTTTTCCCATCAGGGATACTGTTGAATTTCAAAACTCTCTCATGGGTATATCTGCCGGGGAAACAGAATGAGCTTCATCTCTTCTCTTATCTTCTATATATATAACAAAGGCGCTCTCTCTCTCTCTCTCTCTCTCTCTCTCTCTCTCTCTCTCTCTCTGTGTGTGTGTGTGTGTGTATGTGTGTGTTCCAGCATAACTTTAACCAAACTTGGTACACAGATGACTTATTCTCTAGAAAAAAAAATACTGTGGGGGTAAGACACCCCTAACACCCCTCGGGATGTGTGTTCATATAAAGATACAGCCTGTGGNAAATGGCCAAACATGAAGGCCATGCGTGCCATAGGTTCGCCATCAAGGGAATATATGCAGCAAACACATGGGGGGGGGGTAGGAAAGCCTATACACAGGGATAATGTATGTGACCATAATTCCATGCATAGGATGTTTTGTACATCTCTAAAAGCAACGACTTCATCCATCATTCTAGAAATTACATATTTAATAGGCAGCCAAATTGTGGGTTGGAACAATGGAGGACTGTGGGAAGCTATTTTCACTGGAATAGCCGTTGCAAAATGTATCATGTCCCAGCCCTAAAAGGTAGGTAAAGGTAAAGGTTCCCCTCGCACATATGTGCTAGTCCTTCCCGACTCTAGGAGGTGGTGCTCATCTCCGTTTCAAAGACTAATCGCCAAAGGAGCACATTGGTACCTTCCCACCAAAGGTGGTTTCTATTTTTCTACTTGCATTTTTTACGTGCTTTTGAACTGCTAGGTTGTCAGAAGCTGGGATAAGTAACGGGAGCTCACTCCATTACACAGCGCTAGGGATTCGAAACGCCGAACTGCCGACCTTCTGATCGACAAGCTAGCGTCTTAGCCTCTGAGCCACTTCATCCCTGTTGTCCCAGCCCTAAAATAAAATTAAATGATTCTATGTATTTTTCTCTATAACCCATGGAAAGTTGCTCCCCCATTGAAAAGGCAACACAGCCATATCTCAGTGTAATTTCACCTCAGTTTTCAAACCCGATATCAAAAACATGTGCCCAAATACTTCTGTTCAATTTTAGCTACCTTTCTTCCAGCTTGAGACTAACTTGTTGGAGAATCTCTGAGGCTTGCCTGTGGTATTCCAGCTGGGCTTGTACTAGTGCACAAAGCTGGCTCACTTGTTCAACCTGCAAAGAACAGAACATAAAATCACAGGGCTGGAAGGGACTTCGGAGGTCTTCTACCCAATCCTCTGCTCGAGGGAAGGGACCTTCTGCTACCCTATTCAAATGGCTGTCCAGTCTATTTCTGGAAAAAAACCTCCAGCAATGGAGCCCTCAACTCAGAGAGGGGGGGCAGAGGGACGGAAGGAAGGAGAGGGACGGAGAGAGAGGGAGGGAAAAAGAGAAAGAAGGAGGGAGGGAGGGAAGGAAGGAGAGGGAGGGGGAGAGAAGGAGGGAGGTAGAGGGAGGGAAAAAGAAAGAAGGGAGGGAAGGAAGGAAGGAGAGGGAGAGAGAGGGAGGGAAGGAAGAAAGCAGAGGAAGGAAGATATAGAAGGACAGAGAGAGAGAGAGAGCAATGGAGGGAGGGAGGGAGGGAAGGAAGGAGGGGGACGGAGAGGGATGGAAGGAGAGGAAGGGAGAGAAGGGAGGGAGGGAGGGAGAGAGAGAGAGAGCAACCTTATTACAACTCTCTTCTGTAGTGAATTCAGTTTCTGAAAAAGCAATGAGTAAGGAAAAGTGATATTTGAACTAAATATTTGAACTGGAGAAAAAAGGACAGCTAATGTTCATATCACTTCTTACTGGGCATTTTCTGGAAGGCTACCAAAAAGGTAGTTTCTAAAGTACTTCAATTTAACTAACAAGCCATGTACGTTCATAAGCAAGTGTGCATATACAAAAACACTGAATGCAGATTAATTATGCCTTATTTATAAAAGAATCTTGATATGCATGCAAACACTGTGGCAAGTCTGGTTATTTTTTTTAAAAAGAAGCCTGATACACCTATTGCGGTTCACATGCAAATAAAAACAATTCATACATTTAATCAAAGTCCAAACCAATATTCACAAAGAAAACTTTCATCATGAATGACCTATTCAATTTAGCTTACCAATTCAGAGGCATTATATACTTGGCCTGTTGGAGTCCTCCACCAGACTAGTTCTGCAAACCAGCTAAAGAAGTCTTTGGATCTGGGATGTCCAACCTTGGCAACTTTAAGATTTGAGGATTTCAACACTCAGAATTCTCCAACCAGCATGAATTCGGGAAGTTGGAGTCCACAGGTTGTAAAATTGCCAAAATTGGACAACCCTGCTTTAGATTATTCCTGAACAAGTCCTTGACTGAGGTTGCATCTGAGAATACTATACAGTAATACTATTATCATTAAAGCAATACTATTTCTTCAGGGTAATATATTCTTGCTAAAGGTATGGTACAGATAGTTCTCAACATACCACCACAACTGAGCCCAACATTTCTGTTGTTAAGTGAGACCTTTGTTAAGTGAGTTTTGCCTTTTTTGCCACAGCTGTTATGTAAATCACTGCAGTTGATAAGTTAGTAGCCTGGTTGTTAAGTGAATCTGTCTTCCTTATTAACTTTGCTTGTCAGAAGGTTGCAATGGTCTTAAGTATGAACCCGTTGCCAAGCATCTGAATTCTGATGACATGATCATGGGGATGCTGCAAAGGTCTTAACTGTGAAAAATGGCCATAAGTCACTTTTTTCACTGCTGTTGTAACTTTGAATGGCCACTAAATGAACTGTTGTAAATTGAGGACCACCTGTACTTGACACAATGGTGGTGAAAACCTGCTCATTTACAAGCAAAGCCTTATGTGAAAAAAACATGTTTTCACGTCAGAGTGCAGGCAGTCCTCAACTGAACAGCCATCACTTAGTGGTCATTCAAAGTTACAACGGCATCGAAAAAAATTGCTTACAACCAGTCCTCACCAGGGGTGGGCTGCTACGGGTTCAGCCGGGTTCAGTAGCTAACATTATGGTCGGTTTGGAGAACCTTCAAATCCCACCCCTGGTGGCCCCTGCAGACCCCCCTGTCCCCCTCCCAGGAGTCTCCATGCGGCCCATTTTGGATGCGAGGAAAATGCAGAGCAGACACAGAGGCTCGGAGAGTGGGGGGGAACAGACTTCCCGGAAGTTCCGGAAGATCCGAAACGGGTCCATTTCTGGCCTGCAGAGCACTACAGAGCGCCTCCGGAGCCCAGGGGAGGCAGTTTTCACTTTCCCAGAGGCTCAAGGAAAGCCTCTGGAGTCTGAGGAAGGCGAAAACGCCGCCCCCCCCCCGCCGTGGTGCAGGAGGCTGACTAGGCCACACCCACCATGAATACACCAACCCAGCAACCAGGCAGAGAACCTGTTGCTGAAACTTTTGAAGCCCACCCCTGGTCCTCACACTTGTGAATGTAGCAGCATCCCCATGGTCACAGGATCAGAATTCTGTTGCTGGGCAATCAGCATGTACTTACCATGGTTACATCCTCCAAGGGTCATGTGATCGTCATCGGTGACCTTCCTAGCTTCCAACATGCAAAGTCAAGGAGGTAAGCCAGATCGGTTTAAGGACTGCAGTGATACACTTTAACGACCATGGCCAAAAAAAATTGGGTTCAACTCACTTAAACAACCAGCTTGCTTAGCAATGGAAATTCTGCTCCCAACTGCAGTTGTACGTTGAGGTCTACCTGTAAAAAAGGGTTACTTTTCCACACTAGTAAAGTATAGAATGATGGTCTGGCTGAATCAATGCCCAGAACGTTTTCATTGTTCTGGGTTTCAGCTGGAGACAAAATTGGAAGTGTCTCATGGGGATAGTTGCCATTCTTTTTCCAGAAAACATGTGAAACTTCACATTGACATGGATTTAGCCTGACCAGACTGGAATTTGTTAGCTTGATTGAATTCTATATATCCAGTTTCAGGCGAGAACAAGAAACACTGTGATCCTGCTATATAATTAATTGAATTTCGTTCCAGCATGTTCAGATATTATATATAATTCAATTTATTTAGTGCTTGACTTATTTGAAGCTGAAGGGGGGTAAAACAATACGACATTTTATCCGTCTTGAGGAATTTTTTGAGGCACGTCACCATTATTTTCACTGCAGGTATTTTTAGTCACTGTTGAATATATTCAAGACTATTCAAATAATTCATAAGGGAGTTGGAATTTATGTTGAGATCCATGGGGTTCTGCTTCAGTCCAAACAGTGTCTAAGAGTATTACTATGTCTTCCTCCAAAATGCCATTCACATGAAAATCGATAGCAAGTAGAATAATTTACTGACAGTGCCAATTTCACCTCAAAACATGTTTGCACAATCTTGCCCTTGGAATCCCAAAACGCAAAACGCTTTTCTATTAGGAAAACCACATTTCATTTCATTACGTAAAGCAGTGCTTTTCAACCCTGGCAGCTTTAAGATGTGTGGACTTCAACTCCCAGAAGCTGGCTGGGGAATTCTGGGAGTTGAAGTCCACATGTCTTAAAGTTGCCAGGGTTGAGAAACACCAGTGTAATATTTTGCCTTTGAAATCCAGATCGACACACTAGGGCAGTGAGGGCTAACCTTGTTGTCCTTGTGTGCCTAAATTGTGTGCACGCACGCCCATACCCATAATGCAATGCACCCTGCCTCCTGT